GCCAGCATTATGCTAGCCTAATGTTAGCCAGCATTATGCTAGCCTAATGTTAGCCAGCATTATGCTAGCCTAATGTTAGCCAGCATTATGCTAGCTTATAACCAGCTGTTTGTTGTTGTTGGTTAGCCAGCTCATCAGCCATCTAGAGACAGAAGAGTTGCATGTCTGATACGCAGACAACCAGTAATTTTCAGCAACATTGGTAATAAATAAGCACGTTTTCATGTGTCAGAGCCCTGAGTTCAGCTCAGAGAGGAGGCTTGGAGCGAGCAGTGGAGGAGGAGAAAGACATAGTAAGAAAGAGATGATGGAAATATGTAGAATGGTCATAAGTAAGAAAAAATTAAAACTAACTTAACATCCATTTTTGTAAAGCTACATTTTGGTGTTTGAATTCTCAGGAATCTGGAAGTTTCTAACAGAATTAAAGAAAAACTACTTACAACAGCAACATTTCCCTGAAGGAGAGAAACTGCAGACAAACAAAAGCTCAACCTGATGCCAAGTGTTTGCCTCGAGCTGTCAGCTAAGAACCAGGCCTGTGAAGCTGAACAGGTCATACCACTGGATGTCACTGTTGCATTATGATCTTACAGTGTGGTTCTACTCAAAAGCTGAGCATTTATAACCACAGAACTACATGAGGGAGTTTGAGGAACTTCACCTGCAGTTTTACACCTAATTAGCCAAATTTAGTTCCTGGAAATCCAAACAGGATCCACACTATCCACCGCTGAAGGTCTGGACACCTTTAGCACTGCCAAAGTGGTAAACTGGTAGAATAAGCTGCTGCACTGCTGTAGCCAGTGGCGATCCCAACCAACCGAACATCAGTCGGTTGAGTTCTGTGCACCATCTCATCTAAAGACAGCAGGTGTTGTGTATACCTGTATTTTCGGGCAGGCCTTCATCTTCTCCTCCTGCGGGATGGTGTTGGTCACCACCACAGCCTCGAACGGGGCGCTGTTGATGCGAGATATGGCCGGACCTGAGAATATGCCGTGCGTGAGGATGGCGTAGACCTTCACAGCTCCAGCATCGATTAGCCTAAAAGTGGAACGATTACCAAAAACAGTCACTACATTTTTATACATTTATGTAAAACGAGCCAAAGACAAAACCATCTCAGTGACACTGACTTGTCGGCAGCGTGGCAGATGGTGCCGCAGGTGTCGGCCATGTCGTCCACCAGGATGGCCACGCGGTCCTTGACGTCACCGACCAGCACCATGCGGTCCACCTCGTTGGCCTTCTTCCTCTCTTTGTGGATGAGAGCGAAGTCCACATTCAGACGGTCCGCGATGGACGTCACGCTGAGCGAGGACAGGAAAGAGGAGGGATATGCACAGACTCAACCCTTAATTGCTTCTCAAACAAGTCGACTACAAAGCTGT